GTATGAGTCAATTCTTTGGGACGTAGACTGGTCTTATGAGTAGTAAATGCTCAATTGAACTCAAAATGCCAAATTCAAAAATTCATAAAAAGAATACAAAATTTCAGTGTCCCGAGCCTTCCAGTGCTCTAAAAAGTCTTTTCTACTCATTCCCTTTTATATACCCTGCTTGGGGACATATTTCCAACTATACCTACGGGTTTTTGCAGGTTAACTTCAGTCCCCCGAAAAATGTCTAGAAGCCCTCACGGTAATAGACCGTGAGATGTCCCACAATAGAAAAGTCAAGGATGAAAATATAAAGAAATAGGCCTAGCAAATAAATTTATAAGAGTGTTATATGTTATCTTTGTTTTGTTTTGTATTTATTTGTTAAAATAATAATAATAATAATAATAATAATAATAATAATAATAATAAAATAAAATAATAAAATAAAATAAAAAATAAAAAAATATATATTATAAAGTTAATCTGTGACATTTGGGACTCGAACAAGTAAACTCTAAGGGGTGTTCCACACCTAATCGCCTAAAGCTAAATTGTTTGGGACTGATTGGGTTGAAAGTTCGCTACACGGGTTCCATAGAAAGTCATGAACTTAATAATAACAAATAAAGCTAATTTGTGGCCTTTGAGGTTCGGGCAAGTAAACCCGAGGGATCTCTTTAAATCTAGCACACTAAGGTCATTTGATCTGGATGTGTTGGTTGGAAGCCTGTTACACGGATTTCAAAGAAAGTCATGAGCTTTATTTGTAGGAAAATATAATTAGATAGTTTGTATATATTTGTGTTTATAGTTTAATTGAATAATATGTTTAGGAAAAATGTTTGGCTGCCAAAAGATTCCCTTGGACTTGGACTTGAACTTATGACATTGGGATTGACTGTTAATTACTTTGACTAGTGTAAGTGGGTTGAAATTTGTATATCTGGGTAAATTTTAGGGAATTTTTAGAAGAATTTTATAGAAAAAGATTGTTGTTAATCAACAAATAGCTGGAATCGGTCATTGTTATATTTTGTGAAACAAAGATGATTGAGCATGTTTTGTCACATATAATTTCACGAGAGTAAGACCATAATTTGTTCCATGAATTGACTTGATGATATTGAGAGGGAACAAGTGTTGTGATCTTTGATTCTGTTGAGTTGCATTAGGGGGTGGCTAAAGGCTTATTTCTATTGTTATATAATTTGAGACTAAAGTCAAGTTGACTCAAGGCACGACATGTACATTCTCAACTTTGGTACAAAAACAGGGTTAATTGGGTTGGATTCTTTTTCATGTTTGTTTTGATTTCTTGCATTAAGTTTCAAAAAGTTTTGACTTTGATTTTCTTTTCTTCTCCTTTATTTTATTTTCTCTAGTTTAAAATTTTCTTGTTCTTTCTTGAGGAAAAGAAAGGTTCAAGCTTGGGGAGATTTGTTAGATGCATTTCATGCATCCATTTTGTAGTTTTACTCCATAAAAGTGCATTGCATATAGGTTTAAACTCATGCATTTTGCATGTTTTTCGGGATTTTTCATGAGGCAATTTCATTCACACATTTTTATGATATTTCAGGGACTTTTGGAGGTAGGATATTGTTGGAGGAGGTAAATAAGAGCTGCAGACAAAATTTCGGGACTTGCGGAGCACCGAGGAGCAAGATATCAAAGAAATGAAGATTTTGGCTTTACAGAGATTTACACGGTCGTGTAAATGGAAGCCTTGCGTTTACACGCCCGCGTAAACGCAATTTGTTAGGCGTGTCAAACCCAACAAATAAAGGGGTACAAAATGACTCCAAAACACTGTTACTTTGCACTAAAAATGTAATACAAGGTAAGCAGGGTCGATCCACAAAGACACGGGACAAGTGCTTATACATTTTTGCGTAAGGTACAAAAATGGTCACAGAATGGGGGGAATTTATAAGCAATGATTTAAACGATAGAATAAAGCAATAAGTAAATGATTGATTAAATGAAGTAGATTCAAGATTTGTAAGGACTCCAACTCTATGCAAGACAATTTAGCAATGTGATTCCAAGGGTGAAATGATTTCTACTCAATTCCACCTAAGTTGGTACTTGAAAGTGTTAACAAGTTCTAAGACTTCCCATTCACCAAGTTGTCAAATTCAAAACAAGCTCTTTGAAAATAACCTAACCTTCTAATTTAAGTCTAAACAAGCTCTTAGATAGAAATCAAAAGGTTGTAATAAGATTTATGTGAATGTTCCCAACAACACCCAATACTCCTCACAAGCTCGGGAGTGTAAGAGTATGTGAATAAGATTTACACTAAATTCATTCAATGGAAATCAATTTAGTGTTTGTTACTTAGTCCAATTCACAAAACAATTACGAATTTTGCAATTAAATAACTTGAATGACCTAACCCTAATTCAAATGGCCAATAAGAATCACAATTAGAATCAAACATTCAATTGAAACAAAATCAAATTCACTAGGTAGGAATTGGAAGCAAACATCAAATCATATGATTGAAATCACAACTAAAAAGTCAAGACATGAAGTTGGAGAAACTAGGGTTCTAGCCACTCATGACTAGAACAAGATCACAAATCTAGAAAATGAAATTAAAGTTCTTACAAAGTGAAATCAAATGTTCCCAAGTGTTAATCAACTCCAAAATCCTCAAGAAAATCGTCTTCTCTGCTCCAAAAGTCGACCCCCCCCCCCTTTAAAAAAATTGGTTCCCCTTTTTAAGAATGGTGAAAAACTGCTTTAAAACCCGCATTTACGTTTACACGGCCCGTGTAAATTAACACTGTCGTTTACGCGTCCGCGTAAACGCAAAAATACACTGCGCAGAAATCTACGTTTACACGGGCGTGTAAACGCAAGGCTTCCATTTACACGACCGTGTAAATCTTTGTAAAACCAAAATCTTCATTTCTTTGATATCTTGCTCATCGGTGCTCCGCAAGTCCCGAAATTTGGTCTGCAACTCTTATTTACCTCTCCAAAAGTCCCTGAAATACCACAAAAATGTGTGAATGAAATTGCCTCATGAAAAATCCCGAAAAACATGCAAAATGCATGAGTTTAAACCTAAATGCAATGCACTTTTATGGAGTAAAACTACAAACGGTCAACTTTACATCCCAAGTAGCGAATTGATAAATTATATGTCATTACACTTTATACAAACACATAAGTGTTAAAAAATTATATATATATATATATATATATATATATATATATATATATATATATATACACACTAAAGTCCTAATATTTTCAACGATTTGACATTAAAGTAATAATTTATTTTTTTGACAGTAACGTCCTAACTACCGGTAATTTTTGACACGGTTACCCTTTCCTACCGATTAGCCGGTATTTTTCTGTTCTCTTGGTGGCTGGATAACTCACTGCCTAATCAATGAACATATTTGTTTGTTTGAAGAATTATACGGACAGTACTAGAAAAATATAAAATTTGTGTTTATAACATAAAAGACCACTTTTATTACCCATCAAAAAGTAAATCCATGTATAAGAGGTTGCACAATATCTGTGTAGATGAGGGTGATATTGCGGAAGAAGACTCCATTCAAGAATTTTCCTATTAGATAAAATTTGATTTCATAAAGACGACCATTTGGCAAACTAAAAATATTGTATTTTCAAATTTAGGATTGAATATTGTATTTTTATCTTTTTTTTATTAGTACTTTAAAACCTATATAATTATAAACAATATGGTTATGTCCGATCCGAAATCAGGTAAACCGGATATCCATTTTCCAATAAAAATTTTGATTTGGATTATCCAAAAATCGACTTTGAAAAATCCAACCGATCCGATCCGGATTATAAAAAAATCCTAATCCCAAATTTATCCGGACTTTTGTGCAGCGTTTTCTCCACAATGGGCTCAGATAATTTGATAATTGATAATTCATAATATGGATGAAGAGATTACATAAGTCTTCAATTTGGGCCTAAAGCCCAGTAGGCAGAACAGATGAAGACATGAATTACGTATGAATTGGGCCATAGAATTAGATGGGCGGATAGGATAGACGTGCAAACGGTTGGATAAATATCAAACAGACAGTTACAATAAAAACTTCTATCATCAATTTCGAAGAAAAAACATAATTAGTGATTCAAGTACGAGGATTTTTGATGCTTGCAATGGTTGTCGAGGAAGAAGATCTCAAGTTCACAAACATGACTAAAGGTATATATTTTCTTACGTAAAGTGAACATGATAACATTTGTGTTGATAACATTTGTGTTTTTAACTATTATTCATTCATATAAGTATAATATGAATGCGGGAATGATGATGATTTTTATCAGAGATTTTTTGTTATAAAAGTTAAATAATAAAAAGCATACCTTTAAGTTTTAACTACCTTTTATAATATTATAATCATTGAAAATGCATTTTTGTATATAAAATATCTGTATAATATATGATAGATCTTCTTCACTTTCTTTTGAAAGTTAAACGTGATAAACGTTGACACGTTAAGGGCACGAACGCAAATAAGTAATCCAGTGCGGGACGTTTGTGATAGGGAGTATCGATACGTGACGTGTCAAATTAATAACCGTAAGATGAGATTACTTTTGAAGTCAAAGAATGGGTTGATGATGTCAGATATTGAAAGGGAAACAGCTAATAAATTTTGAAAAATAGTCAAAGCATAGTCGGCAATGACTCAGAACCCCGTCGATTCTCTCATCTATTAACTTTGGCGGTTAACTACACGCTGGAACCGAGTCATACTATCCTCATATTCGTCACTCGATTTTACCCGCGCGTGTACATCACTTTCTAAAATATCTCAAATAACCCGTTAATGTATGTCACGCGGTGATGGTGAGAGTGGACAAGGCAAGCCTATCACGTGTATCAAATCTATCTATCATCGCGTTTTTTTATTGGTGAACACAGTAACATATAAATATAATTTCAAACGAGGACTCAAAACTTTTCCAAATAGCAAACAAGGACCTCTCTCAAAACACCTATAAAAAACTTCGTATTTTTCATTGTTCATCATCAAAACAACACCAATTGTGTTATATCTCCTTTTTATTTTTCGTTTTTCTCAACATGACTGTTTGCGTCGACCAACCTCAATCAGGTATTATTTATTTTTTATTTTTTTTTTTGAATAGTTATTGTTTATAATAGAGAGTTGTTTGATGTTATGAATAACATTTTGTTCTTGTTTATTTGTAGATTCCGAGGTGGTGGAAAATAAGAACTATAGTAACAATAATAATAATACCAATGAATTGGTATTAGATGGAGGGTTTGTAGTGCCTGATAATGTGGCTAGTGGTGGTTTTGATGCCCCAGAAATCAATGCATTTGGTCACACATTCAGGTTTTTTTAATTTTTGAAACTCTCAAATAAGCGTTTTTTAATAAACATCGACATCAATGAACGATGAATGATATTGAGATTGTTCTACCTTGCAGAGATTATGACGTCGAGAGTGAAAGACAGAAGCAAGTGGAAGAATTCTATAGGATGAATCACATTAACCAAACATATGAATTTGTGAAGAAAATGAGAGAAGAGTATAAGAAATTGGATAAGCTTGAAATGAGTATATGGGAATGTTGTGAATTATTGAATGAAGTCGTAGATGATAGTGATCCTGATTTGGATGAACCACAAATCGAGCATTTGTTACAGACAGCTGAAGCCATTAGGAAAGATTATCCAAATGAAGATTGGCTTCATTTGACTGCCCTTATTCATGGTATATATCTATATATATTATAAATTAATATCTATATCTATATATTTACATGTTCATGGTGGATTATGCTGTTCATTATGATGATATTTTTTATTTGTAGACCTTGGAAAAGTTCTACTCCTGCCAAGATTTGGGGAGCTACCACAGTGGGCAGTTTGTGGGTGACACACACCCTCTTGGTTGTGCTTTTGACGAATCAATTGTTCATCATAAGGTATATTTTTTTTAATCTAGAGATTAATTATAATTAATTCATAAAGATTAAAGAATTAGTGACAATTGGTAAATTATTTAATGTTTTTTTATATATGGTGCAGTATTTCAAGGAAAACCCTGATGTTAAGAATCCTGTTTATCAAACTAAGAATGGGATTTATTCGGAAGGATGTGGACTAGAAAATGTGATGATTTCATGGGGCCATGATGATTATATGTACTTGGTATGAAATCTAAAACATATATATATAAATATATACTTGTTCTTTTTGTGGATATGTTACCTTCAATGTAGGTCCCTAGAAGCATAATAAGTTTGATTATAATAAAGAGAAATTAAAAACAATTTCTGCATTTTAAATTTGCAGGTGGCAAAGGAAAATGGGACTACGTTGCCTCAAGCTGGATTATTTATCATTCGTTACCATTCTTTCTATCGTAAGTTGCTATATATATTTAAATATTATTTCTTAAAAAAATCAAATTATGAATTTATTTTTTAAAATTCTGCCAGCAATGCATCGTTCTGGAGCTTATAAACATTTGATGAATGAGGAAGATGTTGAGAACTTGAAATGGCTTCAAATCTTCAAGTAAGTACGCAAACTTTTGTGTACACGTAATGCAAATGTAATTAAAGACATAAAAATATCTAATTAATGATATATTATTTTTAATTATTATTTGCAGTAAGTATGATCTTTACAGTAAAAGTAAAGTCCGTGTTGATGTTGAAAAGGTGAAGCCTTACTACCAATCACTCATTCAAAAGGTAAGACGCTATTTTTTTATGTGTATTTCATCAAATATTTAATGAATTTTCACTTGATTACATTTTGTGTATTCCCTTTTTCAGTATTTCCCAGAAAAGCTAAGATGGTGAAGCAAGTTTCTAAAAGATTGATAAGAGAAAATTTGATGATTTATTGAGGGAACATTGTTGTACTACTGCAATTTGTAGTGTTGCTATATATCTGATAAGAGAGTTGGGACATAAGAAGTTTGTTCATACTTTTTCGTTTTTATCCATTGAAAGATTTCTTTCAAATTAATTGAATCTGTTATCTGTGTAATAATTTTTCTTGTTTGCTTCGATAAATTTATAGTTAAATGCCATTTTCCCCAAACAATACCAGACAAACAAGCTTGTTAACGTTTCGAATACGCTAAAATTACATATAAAATTACATATAGGACATTGTTGCAATTTTCATGTCCATGAAATCAATCTATTTCATATCATTACTATATTATATTATTGTTGAAATTTTTTAATATAATATATTCATAACAAGTTGACAAGATTTCTTTTATTGATTATTCTATTTTGAGCATCATATTTTTATGTATATAATAAGGATAAAAGAAACAATATGTACAACAAAAATATAAACAATTAGAATATTAATAAGTTTTATATTTGCTAAAAAGATTAAATCGTCTTCTATTCTCCTGTTTTGTTGAAATATTATAAAATTTATCACTGGCTTTACACAACTTGATTAAAACAATGATTAATAAATTGGTATACAGATATTTATATAAGAAAAGTTAAAAAAAACAAATAATTTAATATAATCGGACCTACACAACTTGTTTTGAGACGTGTTGGTGTATACTGGCCGCCATCGAAAGACGTCTTCCAAACTCGGCGAACACCAAAAAAAATCTATTTTTTTTCTTTAAACGGATGCTTTAAAAAACCAGCAAGTTGTCAGCAAAAGATTATAAAATAGAAAAGAAGAAAGAAGACATACACCAATCAAATCAAGAAATAGACTTAAACAAAGACCTATGTTTAATCCAATTGAAAGCAACTAATTGGATATCATTTGCCGTTCTTAGAGGGGATCATCTTTTATTGTTGAACACCAACGAGTTCCTCGCCTCCCAGTTGACCCACAAAACCGTATATAATAAGGCCGATAAGCGCTTCTTCCTCTTTTACCACTAGTCCAGACTCTCAAACACAAGAACTCTTCCATGCAACTCAGAGAAGAAAGCACATCACACAGACATTTGAGTTAAGCACAATCCCCTTATCGAGCAAATTACAAGCCACCGGTATCCCGTTCAAAAGCACCCTCCAAACGAAACAGTTAATTTCGATAGGAATCCAATTTACCCAAAAGAAGCCCTGCAAAGTACTGCCATCATTCAACTTCTGCGCCATCGGGTTCCTCAACGACTAGACATAAAAAATTATCGTCGACTCACCTTTCCACAGTCACGTGTCCAGACGATTAGAAAAGCACGAACCAACAAGGATAACTTTTATTTATAGAAAGATATATGGGAAAAAGCAATGGTTAGTTATTAAAGATATAAAAATAGATAAAAATTAAAAAATGAAACTTTGAAAACTTAAAGGTTGTCGAAAACTAGTTGAAGTAATTTTTCGATTGAGTTTTTTTTTTTTAATAACAAATAAAACTTTTATTTTAGAATGATTATTTATTTATTTTATTTTTTCTTAAAAATTTAGAACTATTAAAAGCTACGTACTAAAGACAAGCTATATCGTTTTCGATTAGATATGGAGATTTTGGTTCACTTAATTTAGAATAAATTGGTTCCAATTATGCATTGCCATCAGTAGATTCATACTTACAATTTAATACGTGGTAACATGGTTCAACTTTAACCATACGCAGAATCGTTCTACAACCTATTATGAATGAACATTTAAAAAAAATGATAAATACATTGAGAATAATGAAACAAATAAAAAAAAAGAACTAATAAAACAAATTTTCTTTTTACCAAAATGATTTTCAAATATAGAACTAGATCATCAATTTCATTAGGAGTAACAATTCATGGCATGTCACGACAGAAATACATTATACGAAACAAAATTGTGATGAAATTAAATTTTGAACTCGTGTTTGTATCATGTTCATGTCAGGTGTAAAAAACACGTCGTGTCATGTTCAAAAATTCAATACAAAATTGACACAATATTAACACTTGTTTTTCATGTTTTGTATTATTAATTATGAATTAAATAAAACCAAGAGTTATTTTATTATACATTTTTTTTGTGTTTGTCGTGTTGATCTTTTATCATGTGTTTTCTTGAACAACAAATTTAATCTACTCCTAAACTACTACTGATTCAATCTGTCTCAGACGAGACTTGAACTCTCATCCTCAATGAAAAAAAGCGGCAGAAACCTTTTGGTATCTTTTTATCATGTTTTAATTGGGTTGATTCCGAGTTAGTAAATCAAAACATGTCTAGTCGTATGCGCATTATATAAAAAATAGTTGTGTCGTGTTAGTTACAAACACGACACATTCACCACCCTAAATTTTCATAATATAGTTTTTTTTAATTGTAATAAAATGCCAACTATATGTAAAGAACTTACATAACAAAAAGAACATTGCTAAATTACTTTACACAACTTATTTTGATCTATTATCCACCTTCTCCATTCTCTTTCTAGTTATAATCCCTTAAAAATACAGTGATGTCCCAAGTTTAAAGCCTAAATTCAGATCATGACAAATGTCCCCAAAGTAAAAAGGATAATGGTTAAATGTTTTTTTTTTACATAATGAGTTTAATATATTAATTACTTAATCTGGATAGCTATACATTGTTGTTTCTTTTTAACTTGATATGGACAGAATGACTTAATGGGTTAAGAAAAAGAAACATGACTTAATGTACAAAAACAGGAACACTTTCCCTATTTCCCCTTATTTTTCCACCCAACTCCTCTCAAGTCAAAATCAATCAATATTGATAAAACTGATAAATACTGTGAAAATTATTTCTTGGAATGTGAGGGTAAAATGGTAATAAGTTGCTAATAACCCACAAATTACACAACCCCATTTCAATTTCTGGTATCTTTGTAAGACCTATACAGAAACTTAAAAGAATCTTTCTCACAGAATGCATTCAAACACAAAAACAGTAGAGACTAACACAATAACTTTGACAAAAATAAATTGTAAAAAAAAAAGAAAAAAGAAAGAAGGAAGAGTTAATGTCATTACAACAAAGATGGGATGAAAGATATGTTAAGATGCTTTGTCCATGAGTTGTATGGGTGCCAATATATTAGTCTTGCTTGTTTCCACAATACACCCATTCATCACCATCTCCTCCAACATAAAATGAGCTTTCTCCAAGTGAAACATTATGTCCAATTCACACTTCAAAGACAAAAATAAAAATCTAGTCATCACAACGGGCAAATATGTAATTATAACTTCCCAAAAAAGCACATTGCATGATGTAACTATGGGGAAACTTACCACATTGCCAAAGTGTCTGTCCATGGTTTCAACTAAGAGATGTATGAATTCCAAAATTGCAAGCTCATTCTGACATAAAATATGTACAAAAATTGCAAAATCAAGAAAAGGGTCAATTTTTTCTTGAATATAACAAAGAGAGATGACTTACTTCTTCATTGTCAACTCCAACTAGAAAGAACAATGAAGCATAGCGTCTATACACAATTTTGTAGTTCCGATGTTCAATGAATGAACACTGATATCAAGAAAGTGCAAAAGAGTGTTATCAACAAAGTAATGATGATTGAAATAGATGTAAAATTACAGGACTATCCCTAGCTTTAATCTGCTGATTAGCTAATTATTGGATCTTTAGATTATTTGGTTCTGATTCTTCTAGTTGTAATAATCACTATGAGTATGAACAAGCCAGCAATCCTATTCCATCCTAATTGGTTATGAACTTATGATTATGATTATCTAATCAACTTGATTCTGATTATGATCCATATTTTTTTGTTTTAGCATCATCAAAGCCATGTTCATGTGATCATGTTCGTAATGCATACTAAAATGCCAGCAATCCTATTTTGAAGTAACTAATTCATGTAATGTAAGGCACATAGCTGATTAAACCAAAATCAATTAAACCTAAAATCACTTTATAACCCCAGTTGATCATATATTTATGCATCCTAAGCATATGTTTGATTGATCGAATATCATGCATAGATGATAGATCTCTCATTAGCTAATAAATCGTTTAGGTTAAAATCACCCAAGGAAGCAATCCAATTTCAAGCTTAGATCCATTTTGAACTACTAAATCTATGTAAGATAAGGCCCCTAATGAGATTCATCTGGAGTCAATTGACCTACTGTATCCCGATGTCCCCAATCGATCTTCTATTTACACATCCTAAGAATAAAAAATTGGTTGATTGAATATGATGCATAGATCCTTTTGGAGCTAAAAAATCATGTATTCGCAAACCATATGATTGCCAAATGCTATGCATAAACATCTGTAATTATAGAGAGAAATTAGCATGAATATGACCTGTTGTTCGTTACGAGCCAGGCACTTGCGAACAATTTCACCCTCAAGAGCTCGTCGTTCTTCTAGGGTTAGGTATTCGTAGTACTGGGCAAGACGGGTCTGGCCTTGCTTGTTCACCATCAGTATGAATCTGATCCCCATTGCTTGTTTGTACTCAAAATCTCCAAATCAATTCTCGGTCTCGGGTGATCTATGTGATTTATCTGGAAACTTTCGAAGAAACTATAATTTTGAAGCGATCGTTCGTGCAGTTCGACTGGGATTTTAGGGATATATACAAATTAACAAAAATGACAATTGACTCCTGTTTAGTATGTAATTAAAAAAGAATATATTTTGTCATATTTTTTTTCCGTATACATTTATCCTTTCAATTTGTTAAACTGTACACATTTAGTCTTTGATATTTTTTTGCATATTTAGTCCTTAATAATTTTTTTGTTACAAAATAAGTCATTTTTGTTTTTGTACTTATGACTGATTTCTGTAAGTTTTTTATCACGACATCTTACATGTGACAACCATTAATAAGGTGTTTGAAGTTGTTGATGTTTATGTTCATCGTGACCTCGACTACTTGGTTGCTTAGGTCTTATGGTTTTGCTTAGGTCCTATGTTCTGAACGTCGTAACTTGTTCATACAATATCGGATTTTAACGATCTTTAGATCCTCGTGTTTGTTTTCTGAGTCTACTACAACTTTCGTTAAGATTACTCCTGTAAAGATGTAATATATTTTTACTTACGGTTTAATAAAAAAAACATTCATACATGCATTTATAAAACACTTATGGATATAAAGATCTTAAGTAAAAATATATTACTTTTTAACAGAGGTAATCTAAACGAAAGTTGTAGTAGACTAAAATACGAACGCATGATTATTAAGATCATTAAAATTCGAGATCGTATTAAGAGGTTATGACGTTCAGAACACAAAACTTAAGTCAAACCACAAGACCTAAGCAACCAAGCAGTCGGGATCGTGGTGAACATAAGCATTAACAACCTCAAACACCTCATTAATGATTGTCTCACGTAAGATGTTGTGAGAAAAACCTAAAGAAACCAGTCATAAGTACTGAATGAGTATAAAAACAAAAATGACTTATTTTGCAACAAAAAAATTATTAAGAACTAAATGTGCAAAAAATATTAAGGACTAAATGTGTACAAATTGAGAAATATTACCCTATGAAGTCATTTTTCTCGGCTAACCTAGAGTAGTCGGTCATAAGGACTAAATGTGTACAGTTTAACAAGTTGAAGGGGTAAATGTGGACGAAAAAAACTCAGTAACCAAATGTATACAAATTGAAAAATATATTACTCTTTTAAGCCATTATCCTTAAAAAATCTTTTAGGGGTTATATTGATTTAAAGTAGTTAGAAGGATAATTATGTTTCAAAATTGTTCAACAAATTTCATTTATGTAAACGTTAAGAAAAACATCATCGAAATAAATTTTTTGTATAAAAATATCAACGAACTACACATTTAATTCAAATGTCACCTTATTGTAACTAACATTTATAGGTAAGGGCAAGGTATTACCGGAAAAAATTAATTAAGAAAAAAAACAAGGAAAAATTATTATGTTTCAAAATCGTTCAGAAAAACAAGGATGGTAACTATGTTTCAAAATCGTTCAAAAAATATCATCCAAGTTTGGTATGTTCAAAAAACAACATCCAAGTAACATCTTTGTACAAAAAAAATACCAATGAACTTTACTTTTTGTTCAAATGTTAACCACTGGTAACTTTGTTTATTGGTGGCACGTCATAATAATTGGTGACATGACATTAATTTGTATATTCTTCCTTTATAAATCGATTTAGGGTTTCTTCATGAATGAACTACTTCTTGTTCTCCTCTGATGGCTTCGCCAACTCAAACTCACACATTTCAAAGACACGAAAGATATATGATGATGCAACCCTTGTGGTTGTGGGCACCCTTCTTGAATTTGGACATTAACCATTAAGACTAATTCCAGGAAAAAAGTTTAGGGTTTGTCCCAACTAAATGGTAAGTTTAACTTAAAGTTTTATCATGTCCTCCTATACATTTTCTTGGTTATGCGATTCATTTTGTAACGTACCAAAAACCCAGAACCAAAAATTTTGTTTTTATATTAAATAAACATCAACCAATGTGATAATCAAACCCATAAGAAAGTCATAGTATATCAATAATCATCCAAAATACATCATAGTCAATAAAGCAGAAAAATCATGGTGTGTGTGCGATGCGATCATCCCGAGCTCTTCCCATTCGAACTGGAATAAGAGCTTAATGCTCAAAGATGGCCAAGGCAGCGCTCACGACATGAGGATGAGCCTGCCATGATTTTTGGTCATCATGTCGTTCTCACGTTGTGAGGCTTCATACCCCACGTCGTAAGAATCGAAAACGCGGGTCAACAAGTCAATGGTCAGTCACGACGTAACCACCATATCTCACGTCGTGACCATCTTCCAAAAGGTTAGAAATTCAAGAAATTAAGTACCTCCATGATCCGGATGTTACAATTCTCCCCCACTAGAATCATACTTCATCCTCGAAGTCCGCTGTCGCAAATAACTCAAGATAATGCTCCCTCATCTCCTCTTCAGGCTCCCACGTTCACTTGAACCCTTTCAGTGCAACCATTGCACCTTCACTAAACCCACCACGTTGTTCCACAAGGTCTTCGTCTTCCGATCAAGGATCACCACTGGTCTCTCTATATAATTCAGGCAATCATCCACCTGTCCTCCAATGGAACCACTACGGAATCATCAGCCAAGCACTTCCGCAACTGAGAGACATGAAAAGTGATATGAATCTGACTGAGTTCCTCTGGAAGATCCAAAAGTGTAACATCCCAAAAATTTCAAAAAAATTAAACCTTTCAAAACAACCCATTTACTAATAAAATTGTTTACAAAACCATTTTTTCCAAAACATGATTTAAAATCAGAGTCTCCTAAGATCCAATTAATTGTAAAACCAAGGATGTGTACGATCACGCCTTCGCCTTGCCACAACCATCTGAAACAATAAACTGAAACTGTAAGCACAAAGTTTAGTGAGTTCCCCCAAAGTACCATACACACACATAACAAATAAATCACATGCACAAATACTCATGCCTGGCCCAATCAGCCTCGTGCTGGAATACCAGGCATATCTACGATGGGCCCAGACATCCTCGGGATGGAATACCCTCGTATCATAATCATGTTTGGTCCAATCAACCATCGGGTTGGAATACCAAACATGTCGGGTCCAATCAACCATCGGGGTTGGAATACCCCCGACCTGTTGACTGGCGCATAAAGCAGTCCAGTCTCACCATATACCACAACAATCATCACGGGTCCAATCAGCCATCAGGTTGGAATACCCCAGGCCCAGTCAATCATAGGGTCCAGTCATCCTCGGGATGGAATACCCTAGATTGGAATGCCAATATATACATAACTCGGGTCCAGTCAACCATCGGGTTGGAATACCCTCGGTCTGTTGGCTCCCGCACAAAGCAGTAAAGCCTCAACCACCAACCAAATATGTGCACATATACAGATAAACATATAATCAGTCATCAGACAAATCAAGTAGATCTATAGATCACTAAGCATAACATCATACTATCATATATCAGGATATCTAATCCAATGGGCCGGCCTTGGTGCCTTCGACCCGTAAGTACAGTGAGGAAGACTCACCTCAATCCGCTAATAATCAAATAACTGCTCGGACCGCCGAACCGGATAACCTCGCGCCAACTAACAATAAATACAATCTTAATCAATAATTAACCCGATAACCCAAAATACCCTTAGGTCAAACTTGGTCAACCCTGGTCAAAGTCAAAGTCAACGGTCAAGGTCCAAAAGTCAATATTTCTTCCCAGCGGAATATGCCCTGCGTACCAAGAGAGTACACCCAACGTACTCTGATGTTGACCAATAGCAGGGCGCTGACCGCGTACGCACAATGTACCACCAGGTACGCCCAACGTACTCAGCCCAGTTTTTAAACTCCATTAAGAGATTATTACATTAAGTTCTTACATCCAAAACTCAGATCCAAACCCAAATGATGTCCTAAGTCATAAAGTTTCCAAATTTATGACTTTGCATGGCTATAAAGTGCTTAATGTCCAAAACCCTAAGTTCTTAACCCAATAAGACATCACAACTTTTGCATGGAAGGGATAGAAGGGCCAAGATCACATTTTTATAGTTCATAATAGCTTTATAATGGATAAAGTTTCCAACTTTGTCCATTAGAATGGTCCCAACAAACAAGATCTAGTCTTTAAGTCTCAAAGGGACCCAAAAGTTCATCTTTTTCAACTTAATCCATTAAGTACAAGTCTCCAACTTTCAGATTTGAATCAAAATGATGTTTAGATATATAAAGTTTCCAACTTTATCCATATCAAGGTCACAAAATTTCAAGATTTAAACTTTATGCACTAAAATAACCAAAAGCTCATACATCCAAAACTAGTTATTTCTAACAAATGCATCATCAAGATTCAAACTTTATACCTCTAGAAGATAGATCAAGGTGAACAAAGTCCAGATCTACAAGCTCCAATGCAACCAACACTTCTCCAAGAAGTTCCTTCTTCTCCAAGGTGCACCATGTATACTCCAAAGCACTCAAAAACATCTTCTTTTAGCACACAAGGCTCAACTAGGGTTAGGGTTTCATGGAAGGGGTGTTGGATGGGTGGATATTGTGAATGGAGTGGGTTTGGGGGAGTTAAGGAACTTAAATAGGGCTCAAACCACGAAAAATAAGGTTTGGGCACTGATTGCGTACACCCAGCGTACTTCTGGTACGCCCAACGTACTCCCCTCTGTACGCCCAGCGTACTCAACATAACCCAAAACCGACCAAACTTCAAACGGGAATAACTTCTTCGTTCTAACTCCGATTTTGACGTTCTTTATATCCATGGAAAGGTAACGAGAAGCTCTACACTTCTATCAACTCATCATTGCCTTAAAACTTTCCGAAAAAATTCAAAATTCATGAAATCCCGAACTGACACTTTACCGAAATACCCATTGGCGCCAAAACACAGACCGGACTCCCGGATCATCCAAATTACATTACCCACACCCAAATGGGTTTGAATATCTTCTCATAAAATGCCCTAAGCCTGATGATACTCAGTCTTCGGGTCACCATGCCGACATAGGAAATGATTCGGAACAGGGCGTTACAACTCTCCCCCACTTAAATTAGATTTCGTCCTCGAAATCACTC